ACGACTACGCCGGCTCCTGGGACACCAACGCCGGCCACCAGGCCAACCTCCAGCCCTGCCAGCAGAACCCGCGCTCGACGCCCTTTAGCACCGCCGCGGCGCTGGCGCACTATACCTCCCACGGCGTGTCCCCGGACAAGATTGTTCTAGGGATGCCGCTGTATGGCCGCGCGTTTGAGAATACAGATGGGCCCGGCACGCCGTATTCTGGGGTTGGGGAGGGGAGCTGGGAGAATGGCGTGTTTGATTACAAGGTGCTCCCGATGCCTGGCGCGCAGGAGTATCATGACGAGGAGACGGGTGCGAGTTACTCGTATGATGCGGGGAGGAGGAAGATGGTTACGTATGATACGGTGCACATGGCGAGGAAGAAGGCTGAGTATATCAGGGGATGGGGTTTGGGAGGTGCCATGTGGTGGGAGAGCAGTGCTGATAAGCCTGGGCACGAGTCGCTGATTGGGAATGTTGTTCATACGTTTGGTGGTCCGCATGGGTTGCTGCGGCGGGATAATTGCCTGACGTATCCCGAGACTAAGTATGACAATTTGCGGAACGGGTTCGCAGGCTGAGGTCCTGGGTGGATAGACAAGTCACCAATCAATCGAAATTGCAGGCTTCAACACCGGTCACACATTGTAACAACTAGTCACGTCACGAGTCATGATGGAGAAGTAGGAGTGAGAGAATGGTCATAGTGTCATGAAATTGCATCGTCATTGCCAGCCAGTGATGTGTACATCAACGCCCCGGTTTTGTGTGCGGCTTTCTGCCGACTAGAATGCTAACCCTGAACCGATCCTCCCATAATTGTCGCTTTTTGTTTTCCGTAACCTCGCGCCCGCGAAACAAGAGAGAAAATTTACTCCTTCTTGTCGAAGACGTAGGTGAGGTGGCAGCGGCCGCAGTACTGGCGGTCGTTCATGGCGGCCATGAAAACACCGGCACCGCACTGGAACGAGTTAGTATTGAAACGAGAGAGTGTGAGAGATGTGGGGGAACATACGGTGTCGGAAGGGCACTCGCGGCGAAGGCGCTCGATCTTGCCGTCAGAGTCGACCTTGTAGTACTTGAGGACAGCCAACTTGGTCTTCTTGCGCTTGTGCTTGATCTTCTTGGGGGTGGTGTAGACCTTCTTCTTGCGCTTCTTGGCCATACCACCACGCAGGCGCAGGACCAGGTGGAGGGTGGACTCCTTCTGGATGTTGTAGTCGGAGAGGGTGCGGCCGTCCTCGAGCTGCTTTCCGGCGAAGATCAGGCGCTGCTGGTCGGGGGGGATGCCCTCCTTGTCCTGGATCTTGGACTTGACATTGTCGATGGTGTCGGACGACTCCACCTCAAGGGTGATAGTCTTGCCCGTCAGGGTCTTGACGAAGATCTGCATGATTGCCTACTTGTCACAGAATGTTAGAATTGGTGCCTGGAAAATGTGGGTGGATAGCAAAGATTGCTGTCCGTCTCCCTCGATGCTCCTCTTCTTCCCCCTTCGTTCCGGCAGAGTTGGATGTCGATGGCTGTGGTGGGTGGCGGCGGCGATTGAGCATTCGGCGAAGCAATTTTACAGGCTCGACGGGCTCGCACGCACGCCGTTCAACCATGCCAAAAGACTCTGACCCCTTCCATTGCGCCTTCTCGCTGACTCTTTTAAGACGCTCACGATTTCGCGATTGCGCCTTTGCGAGACTCGCTCGAGTGGTGGTGGGCGACAACGGAAAACAAGAGTCCACAACTCGTCGAAAGACGAAATGCCAGAAAACGGAGGGAGAAGAAGAGGTGTAACGGGCTCAAGGCCAACAAAGAGGGAGCAGAAGCATCTTCAGACGTACCTCGACAATATGTCTATTGCCTTCCTAAGCAGATCCTCAGATGGGTTCGAGTTGGGGATGAGGGAAAATTAAAAGGAAAGGGCTCTCGTCTGTCGCAGCGCACGGTAAATCCGTCCTGCGCAGGCGCTCGGTGGACCGGGTGGGGGGGTTTGCGAGACCTGGAAAACTAGCGAGTCCACGTGATTTCTGGGAGATTCAATTGGCCGACCATGAGGTCTGGAAATCGAATGTGTGGTGCGAAATATCAGTACGTACTGCAGTCCTGAGGCGACTCACCCGCGTAAAGTGCATCCTCGCCTAAAATTCCAGAGTGGGATTTTTCCAGAAGTGGGTCCACAAGCACCAGTTCTCCCTACCGCACTCTCCAGCCCTGGACCAGCCCTCACTCGCACGCAGCCTCCACCACCTTTTCCAAGGCACGTCAAAACCAATTCGCGCCCTGGTCGAACCCACCAATTGCGATTTTTTGACTCAGCAAGCCAGAAAAGATCAAGTACGTCTCCTCGCAATTGATATACCCTTTCTCCTCTTCTCTTTTTTCCTCTTCTTCACGAATCTACTAACACACAGTCAGACGTCGCCAAAATGGTCAAGAAGAGAAAGAACAAGTACGACGATACCCTCCTCATCCGCCCCATACACCGCGCTTCACCTGTACTTCTCTACCCTCACGTCCCGGCCGTCGATAACGGTATCCCGATATCATGAATCTATTCGACGATGCCGGCGACTGAGGGTCTAGAATGGCACATGCGCAATGATACCCCTCAACGAACACGATTACTGACTTGGTTTCCCCTCCTACAGCGGACGCAACAAGAAGGGCCGCGGCCACGTCAAGCCCATCCGCTGCAGCAACTGCTCCCGATGCACGCCCAAGGATAAGGCGATCAAGCGCTTCACCATCCGCAACATGGTCGAGTCTGCTGCCATCCGTATGCCCTACTCCCTCGTCTCATCATGCATCCAAGACTAACAAGTATCAGGTGATATCTCTGACGCCTCCGTCTTCGCGGAGTACACCGTACCCAAGATGTACCTGAAGCTGCAGTACTGTGTCTCTTGCGCCATTCACGGCAAGATTGTCCGGTACGTTCGTCCGCGGGAGCGACGACTGCAAGCCGTCGGTCTGGTTCACACCACGACCGCGGCGCGCAGGCGCTACAGAAGAACCTTGGCGCTACTCGAAGCTCCCATATCCCCCGTGCCCTGCATCTCAGCGACGCAGTCCCTCCCCTTTCGTGGGAGGTCGATTGCCGACCTGGCGGTTGCTCTCGGGTTTTGTGAAAGATCACCCAATACTGACTTACTCTCCCAGTGTCCGTTCCGTCGTGGGCCGCCGCAACCGCGCTCCCCCTCCCCGCGTCCGCTACAACAAGGATGGCAAGAAGATCGTCCCCAACACCCCCAAGGCCTAAAGAGTTTCTTCTCTTCTCGGGTACTCGGTGTTTCAGGTGTTTGCAATGACGAGCAGTGGATGAAAAAGTTCTCCTTTCAGGCATGGTTTGGGAACCGGATTGGGCTTTATGATGATGTTCATCTATGGGAATCGGGCCATGGCCCTAGGCTAGCAAAGGAAATGCTTCATGACACTGTTCTCTCGCTCCCTGCAATACGTGCCACATGTCTTCATCGTGTTTGTTCTACCTGTTGAAACTCGAGTCAACTACCTACTCTCTGGTCAGCTCGAAGCCGACAAATCTCATATCGCTCCCCCACCAGCTGGGCCTCTCAATCCCCCGAGTTCCAATCTGCTCAGACACGACCGTATTCAGCTTCCACTTACTCCTAGTCTGCTCCGACAACTCAGCCCACATCTTCTCCCACGTCTCCAAGTTATGCCTCAACGCAGGCTTATCCCAAACCCCCTTCAACTCAATCCCATCCGCATGACCCGCAGCATGTCCCACAATCATCACCCCAGGCTCCTGCTTCAACAAACGAATCACCCGCCGCAGCACAATCATCTGCTGCTCCCGCGTCCACAAATGCAGACACAGGCCCAGGTGCGCGGTATCAAACGTCCCCTCCATGGCGTCCAGCCGCGCGTCCCCGTCGTCCAGCATGTCCGCGTTGACGAAGCGCGTCTCGAGACGGTCCCGGTCGCGGAACAGCTCGTACCCGGCGTCGATGTAGCCCTGCTCCAGCTCGACGGCGACAATCTTGGACGAGGCGACGCCGTCGTGGACGAGGCGCCGGAGGTCCTGCCCGACGCAGCAGGCGATGTCGAGGTGGCGCGCGGACGGGTTGTCTTGGAGGCGGGCGAGGAGTTGCGGGTAGCCTGGGCGGTGGGCGAGGTTGAAGTCGAGGAAGTGGAATTCGCCGATGCAGGGGTAGGGGAAGACTTCCCAGATCTTGTCGCGCTGCGGATGGCATTATGTGAGTATCCAGCTATGTCCCAGCATGTCTAGTGCTGTGATATGCGGCCGAGGGGCAGAATGATGAGAAAGGGAGAGGGAGGGGACAACGTACCATGGCGACGACGTGGTCTCTGACCTCGTCTGGCGGGATACCGGCGTACTCCTCGAGCATCTTGCGTGCCTCGGGCGAGATTTGGGCCTCGACGGAGTACCACGGAGCCGCCTTGCTCCTGTCTCCCACGACGATTTGGCTGTTTGCGACCTGCATTTCGTTCATAGTTCGAGCAGCAATAGTATAGTAATCAAGAGATATTGCTTGAACACTTGGCCTCAGACTCCATTCCTGCCCTTCGCATCAGGCAGCCCCTTTTAAAGACCACAGTCAAACATCCCGACGGCATTCTCGCAACTCAAAATCTCCTGGAATTACTCACCTCGAAAACCAAATTCGCCGAAATCGGCTCCGTCAAGCTTCAACATTGGGACGACGGTAGTCGATAATTGCTTACTGCCGCGTTTCACCGGCGCACCCGGATCGTGCTGGGTCTTTGCGAATTGGTGAACTTTGCTTTACCCCCTCCGTCCCGGTCGTCTGATGTCCCGGCCTTGACACTCCCCGCTTTCACCTCGATTTCACATGGAAGAAGCTTATTGCAAAGTCTTTAGGAAGAGAAGTGATGTGATAATTCAAACTACCGAGCTTTCTATGTAAAGGCTAGATCGAAGGCGGCTTCGGCTTGTAGCCTCAACACCGTCTAACCTACGCTCCCCCCCTTTCTTGAAATCCCTCCAATAAGATTGCCATTCACGTCACCGGTCACCATGCTACCGGTAACTTGACTACTCCGACATCCTTGTGCAGGGGCGTGTACTCGATATCCGAAATCGGTACGGCGATTCTTAGGCTGGGGAGCTTCTGGAACAGTGTTGCTGTGTTGTGACCTGTTAGCTCAGTGTAACTAGAAGAGTTTGGGAGATGGAGATGGGGAATGAGGTGCAAACGTGAAGGCTTGCTTCTAGGCACCATGATCAAGTCACATGTATGACCACAAGAACTTGTAGGAAACGGTCGGCGATAATAAGAGGAAGAGAGCCTCACCAAAGACAGTCTCGAGCTCTGCCCGCGCAAGTGGCTCGGCGATACATCTATGCGGCCCGAAGCCGAATCCCAGCGCGTGGTTCGGGTCCGGTGCCCGGTGCATGTCAAAGACGTCCGGGTCGGGGAAGACGTCTTCGTCTCGGTTGCCGGATTGGTTTGAGGCGATGATGCCCTCGCCCGCCTTGATGGTCTACCTGAAATGGTCAGCCCTTCCCTTTCAAACCTCCATGTAGAAGTAAAGACTTGGCAGAAAGACTCAGGCCGCAGAAGATGGTTACTTGCCTTGCCACTGAGTACAATGTCCTCCTTGGCCACACGCTTCATCGCCATAGCGGAACCGGTGTGGTATCTGCACAGCTCTTCGACGAAGGCCGGGGCGAGCGATGGGTCGGCTTTGAGTTGGGCGAGCTGAGCTGGGTTCCGGAAGAGTTCGATGACGCCCTGAAGCACGGGATGTTAGTCGAGTCTTGAATCCCAGAACGTGGTTCCGGTCTGCCCCGAGAGTGACAGACTCTCAGAATGGGAAGACTCAAGAGAGAGCTCCAGGGAAGGCTCACCAAAGCAATCATGTTGACCATCGTCGCATTGCCAGCAACGAGTAGCAAGAAGGCGATTTGCACGGCATCCGATTTCTCAATGTGACCAGGTCTGAGCTGTTCCACGACCAATTTGCTAATGAGGTCGTCTTTGGGCTCAATGTTGCGCTGGTCGACTAGTTTTGCGAGGTAGTTGAGGAGTTCTCTGGCCAGTGGGTGTCAGTAATCACCGTCAACGTGGAATGAGAGTCGGAAAAGGGGGCGGCGGGGGGTGGGGGGGGGGGGGTGTGAAGCTGGACGTACTGGTTTGCAGATTGAGCTTGCAACGCGGTACCGCTGCCGTTTGTGCGGATGGCATTCTGTTGGGTGAGATACTCGAGGTCCTCGAACGGGACACCGAGGATGGTGTAGATGATCTTGAAGAAGGAAGTCAGCGGGGACCCCAAGGCACCTGTAGCAGCGTCTCCTTCTTGCGCCTCTCCATCTTCTCCCTGATTCCAGGTCTCACTCAAGTGACAAGAGCACTCACATATGACGGAACAGGCAACGCAAACTTGTCAATCAAGTCAATCGGCTCGTCGCACCCCTGCTCTACCATCTTATCCAGGAGATTATCCACAGTACTTTGGATATACGGTTTCATGGACGCGATGTGCTCCCGCACGAAAAGCGGCTCAACCATGCCGCGCTGCTGCATATGTGCCGGCGCGTCCATGTCGACAAAGGTGGGCTTGTTCGCTGCCGCCGCTTTCCCGCCGGCGCTGAGCTCGGGGAACCCAGCGCGGGTGCGTTCCTGTGTTGTGGTGTTAGCTCACTTGGACATATTTGATACTCCCGTTGACTGGTGAAAATGAGAAGTGAAAGGACAGAGGGATGGATGGGACCACAAGACAGCACCTTGGAGAGACGCGTATCCGTGGCGACGGCGCACACGTCTTTGTACTTCGTCACGAGCCATGCGAGGGAGCCGTCAAAGAGCTTCACTTGCGAGACGGGTTCTGTGGCGCGGAGACGGGCGTATTCTGCGGGCGGTTCGAGACCCGAGGCGCGTTGGAAGGGGAAGTTTGGGGGCGTGGTTGTCGTCATTGTTTTCTGGGTAGGGAAGAAAGGATGTGGAGAGTGTCGTCGGAGCTTGGTTGCCGTTGAAGATAGACGAGGGAAGGAGGTCGAGAACATTGAGTAGTCAAGGCTGTCTTGTTTGGATGTAGAGCACGAGAAGTCCCTTAGGAAGCTGGTGCTCTTTTGTATTTATATTTGCGTTCTTGACTGGGTTTGCTGCGTCTTATTTGCGTTGATCCATACAATTCCAAATTTTACTTCTTGGTTTGTATTTCCCTGTTTCTGTCTTTCGTCCCCAATTGAGTGGTAAGCAGTACTCCCTTCAATATCCCGACACTCTCCATCAGAGTTGTGAACGACGAGCAGGGTGGTCTGATCGTGAGCGACACTCCCCGACGTCAGCCCGAATCGCGTAATACGGACGACCCGGTTGGTCGACGCACCGCAGGGGGGGGGGGGAAGAAGCATGGTGCTGCATGCCAGGTCTACATTGATGTCAACGTCACAACGTGCATGTAAAACAAAAACGGCTTGCAAGGATCAAGGAAACATGCTTCCATCAGGCGAGCTAGAAGCACACGCAGGCAACGGGCGGGGACGGGAGACTACGTGACTGGGAACGCCGCGGAAGGGGGGAGGACGGGATGGTCCGCGGAGTTGTCGAATTTTCGGAACGTCAGCCCCACCACCGCAGCCCCGCCGAGACCCGGAATCATCGGGCGTTGTGGGGTCAGATTCTCCGGCTGGCTAGTCATGAGGACTACCGTATTGGGGAAAAACTCGGACGTCTGAGAGTACCGAGCTGCGAGTTTTGTCAACCAATTTTTTGGATATCCGCGGATCGTGTTCATCTTCTGGATATTCTTTAGAGAGTCCTTGGCCAGAGTCCACCTTCTGTTGAGTCATAGGAAGAGAGGGGTTGGATGAGGGCTCTTTGCGATGAGCTCTGTGTAACCTTGTTTTCTTTTTTCCTTCTTTTGTGCCTGGGTTGGCATTTCGGTGACCATCCCGCTGGCTGTTGAGGATGGGACCCCATACTTTGACAAGGTAGTCAAACTTTGTTAGCAGGGCTGACAATCTTCATGAACTACTACTTACAGATACCGAATGACGACAGATGAGACCGGGGTATGCAATCAGCTTCAATCCGTGTCTCCGTTCAGCCCTATAACACAACCAAAGTGATTCACCTTCCTCATTTGTTTCAGCAAATCCTTTTCATCCTCCCTCCAGAAGCCATCCTAGACTTCGAGGGCTATGAACAACCGTTTTCATCTGTAAAAGACAAGTCTTCCACGAAGAAGGAAACAGCACACGTCAAGGACCGAAAGTCTCCTGTTTTCTCTATCTTGTCCCTTTCCTTCCTTCGTTCTCCTCTCTATCTGTTTTCTCCTTTCCTTTCCTTTCCTTTCTTTTTTCTTTCTGCCTTTGTCTTTCCTTGTCACTTGTTTGTTTTCAACACACGACAGCCCTTATGAAGCCTCAGCTTATCAACGCAAACCGTAATGCGGTTTTGCTGGTCACTACCCGGCGCCAGGCCCAGTTCGCACTCACCTTTGCGGCTCAAACTCGCAGATGGAAAACGAAGGTTCATGGGGGGCTTGGAAGCCTGAGTCCAAGGACACCGTCTCGGCTGGCCACATCAGACGCACCCTATCAACAACAGCAATCGTCAAAGTCTCTCGATCCCAAGCGGAGGCCCGTAAAATAACACGGAACTGCACAAATAGCAAGGTAGAAGGCCCCGTAAAACCCGGCCTCACCATACAACCGCACTGCCCCGCCCCGCCCCGGCTAACGGAACGGACTCTGCGAGCAAGAATATTGGTCCCACGTAGAAGGATACATCAAATTAGGCAAAAACGAAAGAATTCCAGCATATCCGTCCAAATGGGAGCTGGAGAAAGCGATTCGATACATTGCATCGCATCACGGCCAAGGGTATCTCCCGCGAAGGAGTTCTGACGAGGATGGCAAGGGGAAAGGGGGAATATAGATAAGTAGCAAGTAGAAGTTGTACCATCTCTGAGATGTCTTGCCAACAATCATATCCAGACCATGTGCTGTACGCTGAGCCGCGGCGTAGCATACTTAGATACTAGGTGAATATACATAGAACCCAAGTTCAAGATATACCTTCATCGTTCAGCAGAAGAATGAAACCCCGCCACAGCCCCCGTCCCCTGGAGAGACTCCGGAACGGACTGGCCTCATCAACGCCCCCTCCAGCTCTTCTTCTTACGCCTAGCAAAGGAGTCAATCAAATTCTCCATCAACAGCGCCGGCCACTCCGGCAACGGCGCCTCCGTCTCCCAAGACAGCTGCTCGTGCCGCAGCCACCCCTCGTTCCACTGCGCCGGCGTCCACATCTTATTGCAGCGCACAACCTTCTCAGCATCCCACGGCTCGCCGGCGTCAAAATTACACCGCACGACGGACCCGCCGCCGCGGCGCGCGATATCCCTCATCGCCTCGGGGAAGCCCTCGTAAAAGTACCCCAGGTAGGACTCGTACACCCCGGAGACGGGATGCACGCCCGCCCTGGCCGCGTCTTCGCCCCGCCTCTCGAACCAGTCCAGCACCGGGTGGACGAGCACGGGGCCCCGATCCATGGACTCGGTCCACGCCCGCTGCCACGCGGCGTCGCGCTGCACGACGGTCTGGAAGATGCGCGCGCACAGCTGGGGCGCCGGGTCGCCGTCCAAGACCAGGGAGAAGAACGTCGTGGGCATACCCGCTGGCCCGAGAGCCAAGGCCTCCGTGACCCAGAGCGCGACGGTGGACGTGATGTCACGCGACCGGAGTGCCCGCGTGGCGGCACGGTTCTGATGCTCGCACTGCTGGTGGGGCGCGTGCCATCTCTTGTCGACCTGGAAGAGGTTCCGCCACAGGTTCACGCGACGTTCGACCCGCAGGAGGGGATTCTCCCGGCAGAAAGGGATCAGGCCTCGGGCGTGGCTCTCTGGGTGCGCCACGGAGCGGTAGTCCTCGACGAGGACAATCTTGCGGAGCTGCGCGCGCATGACGGCGGGAATGGACTTTAGATAGCGGATGGCCGACGCGGCGGCCGAGAAGCGCTAGACTGAGCCATCGGATCCGTCGCGGATGGATGAGAGCAAGCGCTTCTCCTCGGTGATCCACGACGACAGCTCCTTCAGGTTGGCCGCCGTGGGAATTTCCCACTCCCTGACCGAGCAGCGCATGATGCGGTTCGAGCGGAGCTCCCCGCCTGGTAAGCGATTTTCCGAGATATTCAAGTACTGGCACCATTGGATTTGATCCCAGTCGCTTGGTTCCAGATGAGACGCAGCTTGAAGGAGGTCGCAGCAGAGCTCGCGGTATGACGAGGGCGCCTCACCGTAAGGACCGCGACGAATGTGCGTGAAGCCCAGGGCTCTCCATGGTACCCCAGTCCTCGTGATCCATTCGCTCCAGGACTCGAAAGAAGCGACGGTGCTTCTTGGTCAGCTCGTCAAAGGCAAGCTGAGCTGTGGCCTCTGACGGCTCGCCAGATGGGAACGATTCTGAGGATGAGAGCTCGTCCGGATCTTCAGTACTACGAGGGTCGACGTGTACTTTGCTTGCAGCGGCCAGGTCGCTGCTGGAGCCGTCATGGCCTTTCTCTTCATGGTCGTGATTGCCCTCTTCTGACGTAGTTGTCCGCGCCTGTTGCTCTTTGAATCTCCGACCCGCCAGGAAGCCTCCGGCGAAATGGAACAATTGCTGCCTGCATCTGTCGAGGCTACGCCCAACCAGGCCATCGAACCGAGCAGCGCGCATGCGCAAACCTTCAAGCATGGCTAGAGAGGACGGCCCTGATTCCGACGTAATGGTGGAGAACGTGAGGGTGTTGCTCCGCAAGGCCAGGTGGCGCATCTTGTTGGCGACGAGTCGACAGGCGTACATCAGGTTGAGATTGATAGGTCGCCCGTCGGCCCTCTTGAGCCTGCCACCGAGGAGACCGTCTGATTCATAGATGTATCCCCCCTCGACGATGATGTAGTGCTCATATATGAGGTTGCGGACTTCGCGCGGGATGGAGAGCAGTCGCGAGTCGGACCGCATTCCGCCGTGCGCGTGGTTCGGGATGTCCATCTCGTCATGTGTCGCCCCTGTCTCGCGACACCGGATTTCGCTTTCCGTCCCGTCGACTCGACGAAGACTCTGTGACAGAAGGACGCCAGGATGTAGCTGAAGCGAGTTGGACAACTGTGGTGGGCGTATGTGTGGCTTGGTGATTAGCTGAGACGTGTTGACGAAAGCGAGGAAGGGAAGCTAAGAGTAGAGGTACCTTAGGTTGGGGGGGCACATGAAAACTCACCGCGATTTATAGCGCACCTCGCGCTACTTGTTATAGGCCCCTTGGTGGACCGCAGGTGCCACGGGCACTCGTTTCGGTCATTTTGCGCACCTTGCGGGCTCCCATCAGCGCCACTTCCGCTGAGTCACAGGGAAGACCTAGAACCAACTTTTCCAGGCTTCCTCAAATCCCAGTCTCCATCTACTCCTCCACCTCACTGCACATTCGTAATTGCTCAACACATTTTTTTATTAGAAAAACCTTTATTCGGAAGAAAAACCAAAAAAAAAAACGGTCTGCTGTGGTGATAGCAGTGATTTCAAAGTACCTTGTTATCGAAGAAAGTAAATTTTTGTGAGTCACAAGTACAAGAATACAGTTTTGATAAAACAGTATAGTGACCACCCAGCACTTGAATTGAAATGCTTTTTCAAGCTTGCCATGAGAGAAAGATGACTGTACTGCTGACTACCTGCCATCGAGGTTCGCAACTGACTTATGCATTATTAGCGGGCATTTCTCTTCAATCGTGCAGCGAGTTGACGGGAGGGAGGGCAAAAGCAGGTGTCAGACTTACCGCTGTGGCTTCAACCGTGATGGCTTCGCCCGCGATGGGCGAAAAGTCTGATTATGAGTCCCTTGAAAGCCTCTCTTCGAGAGCTATTAGAGCCTCCGAGTCTTTGAGTAGATTGTCAGCACTCCGGTTGCTGTCTGAGGCTCAACGGGAAGACGTGCGTGCTGAGTTGTGAATGCTTCCCAAGACATCAAACCCATCACCGCCCATCGCCATGAACGAAATAGAGAACAGCGAGTTAGACACTGTCCTCAACAGCTTCGTCCTCTGTATGGAGAAACGTGTTAGTAAGGAAATGACCGCGCTCTCAGTGATAGGACAGACTCACGCTCAATCACAACCTTCTTCGAATAGCAACACCGCCATCCAAAATTAAAGTACAGTCCAAGCGGAAAAGAGAGCTTCTACTCAACGGCACCAACGGGGAAATCGTGGCTTGACAGAATTCGTCTGTATATCTAATGCAATCGGTGTCGGAAACGAACAAACATACCAATGGCCTGTCTCGGCATGGCCATCCAGCTGAAGAATCACCCTCTGTCTGATCAACGCAAACAGCTAAGACGAACGCGCAACTATCTCGCCTACATCTATCGTCACCTTCGGGACAATATTCCTCTCGATGGCAACGTAAAACTCCATCGAGACGATATTTATATCTAGCTATGTACGGCATTCGAAGCCGGGTTTTCGATCTGGGAAAAACGACATGATTAGAGCTAACAACCACTCGGGAATTCCCATGGCGCGCATAATGATGATCAATTCTTCATGACTGACATGGTCGTAGGCTCCTGCAATGTCGAGCCCCAGGGAGAGTCGTCTTCGAAGCAGCAAGCCCACCCATCCATCACCGCATTAGCAATGAACTCAACGACCCTTTGGAGTGCCTTTACCGACGAAATCCGTACTCATAGGAGTGAAATCAGTTTGAGACGGACTGCTATTCTCCGAAGAAGGTCTGCAATGAACCGCTGGAAGACCTTGTCGATAGTTGGAGAGTAGCGCCATGGGGACGCCAGCTCTTTGGTGTGGCATAGTCAGACTTGCCCTCTTTTGCAAGCACGACTGTGATGGAAGCCTTGGAACAGTCGGGGGCAGATCTACACCGCCGATGCTTTCTGCCTTTAAGCTTCATGAGGCGCACAATCTTGCGGTGGAGGGCTTCATAGACTTGGAGCTGTTCCTGGACCATGATTCCCTCGCAATCTCTTGCCCAGTGCCTCGATTGACACCACTCATAGCACCAAACTTTGGACCGTTGAGGTTGCGGCGCCGTGGACCCCTACGGCACTAGCGCTGTCGTGCGCGGGTCCTCCCGTCTGCGCCATCCTTGCAGCCCACGTGGGCCATTGCCGAATCGAGCCCTGCTGTAGGGAGGTTAGGGCACTTGATTGGTGAATCACTCCCTGGAGCTATACACTGTGCTGGAGGTAGCCAGTACGTCGCTGCCACGCTGCCCGAGGATGACCATGACGCAAAAATCACAGCGCAGGGGTGATGATTCGAAAATTACTGAGAATAATCATCAGTCGGTAGGGGAAGTGGTCGGGAAGCCTGAGTGGTTAATAGTCTTTCGTTCCGCGGCCATGGCAACCTCAGCTGAAGAGTGGAAAGTTAGAGCTAGACTGTGCCTTTTGCTTTTCGCCTTTTGGTGCCATTTACCTCACTTTATCTCCTCTTGTCAAGACTGCGCACACCTCTAACCATGCAACAGGCTGCAGGATGCGATTTGTGAATCCCGCAAGTATTATTCAATCCGACATGTGTCGCGGAGTGGCACTTTTACCGCATCTGGTGCTTGAAGGTGTGTCACCTAAGTAGGTAGGTATTCTGATGTGCACCTAGGAAACAAATCACAGCACTCAACCCATGCTGCAACATCAGGCTTGAGAGTGCAACGGATCGATGTAAGAAATGATGTAAGGAATGATGTGAAATATTTACATTTCGTCTTTAAATACACAGACCACTTTAGTAGCCCGAAACGTAGATACACAGAATAGGTAACAACACAACGTCGATGCAATGCGGCCAAGTCACGCCAACCACCCAGCCCACGCATCACCCCAGAAACCCACGCCCGCATTCAACTCCCACGCACCATCATCCCACCTCACTCGCGCAATTCCTCGCAACAATACATTCGAAATGAAACCACCCGGTGGAAATATGCCTTCAACTAAAGTGTACGCTCCGCTTACAAGCACTGCGAGTACCACTCATTGGTCTTGGTGCAAGTCAACCCGGAAGCACAAGCAGTCGGCCCGGAGTATCCAGCCCCGCCGCACTGGCTCCACTTCGCCGCCATCTCGGATCCGGACTCCTCCGCAGCAGCCGCGCTAGGCTCGGCAGCAGCCTCGGCGCACGTCGCAACGGGAACATCGGCAGCGGAAGACGAAGGCGCGGGCGTCGGGGTAGGCGTAGGCGTAGGAGTAGGCGTGGGGACGGGTGTCTCGGCGACCTGCTCCTCCTCCTCCTTGACAATCGGCGCAGCAGAAGCAGAGGCAGATGCAGTAGCGGAAGGCGTGGCAGAAGTCGAAGCAGCACCGGAAGCAACAGCCCCGGAACCAGAGCCCGTCTTGGCCCATCCGCGCTTCTGCGAGAGCTCATACCACCAGTTACGGTACATCCACCCATCGAAATCCGTAACCTCCATAGCAGACCCAGCAAGCATGATGAACTTGCTCTGTCCCGTCGGCTCCCAGTCGTAGAAGTCGTCCAAGCCGAAGGAATGCCCCATCTCGTGCAGCAGGATGTGAATGTTCTCCGAGTCGAGGTTGTTCAGCATATACTCCCTGCCGACCTGCTGACCCCACGAATACCCGAAACCGCCCTCGAGTCCGTCGGTAAGCTGCAGAGAGCTGTCAAAGTGGCTGGCTGCCCCGCCCTTGCACCCGCTGTAGTCGCCGTCGAGGTGCGCGTCGCGGTCGCAGGCCGGGTCGCACGCGGGGATGCCCTGCGGGTCCGCGAAGGACGTGTACACGTCCAGGCCGTCGGTTGAGCCCTCCAGAAGGGCCGTGTTGTTGGTGGCGTAGCCGACAATATTGACGTCGACGTTTACGTAGGGGAAGCCGTCAAAGCCATAGAGCCACTTGAACCACTTTTGGTACTGGGCCGCGTAGGTCGAGGCGAGCTTGGTGCGTTGGGCGGCTGTGATGGGGGAGTTGGAGTCCCAGCGGACGCAGACGTTGATAGAGCTGCGGTTGTGTTTAGTTTGGTTGTTTTGCATCGGACACTAAGGAAGATATGGGACTCACCCGTTGTTGGCCATGATCTGATCCCAACCCCAGTTCTTGTTGCCCTCAATGGCACCGTCGTACGTCTTCTCGTAGTGCGCCCACACCTCCTTCAACGCGCCCGAGAGCTCAGAGGGCGGGTTCCAGCCCGTCTGGCGCTTCGTGGGGCGGTTACGCGCGCGGACCTGCGGGGCCGAGGCGGCGGGGGAGGTCCCCTCGAGCATCTTCCAGACGGAGCCGTCGAGGTCGGACTTGGCAGAGGTGGAGGTCAAAGCCAGGGCCGAGGTGGCCGCGAAAGCGACCGCCGCGGCGGTGGATGCGATGGATGGCATTTTGGTGTTTTTGGGTGGGGGTTTATGTTGGAGGTTGAGAGTTTTGGTATGATGGAGTTGGTGGGACAAAGGAACGATGAGTTTTGGATTGAGAGAGTGGGCGACTTGAAAGAGTGTCAAAAAACGAATGTGAGGTCAAAGTCTGAGTGGGAATATCAGAACATGAGCCAGCCAAGTCCTGCAATGCACACACAGTGAAAGAACAAGGTTGAGAAAGAATGAAGGTGAAGACGAGAGAGAGAGAGAGAGATGGCAAGTCAGCAACGAGAGAAACACAGTCGACCATTGGATATATGTAGCATACTCGGAGCATCCCTCCCAATCTGTCTGCATGGGAGATGTTGGACAAGGGGGTGGGATGGTCTAGCCGAAAGATGCCAAAAGCACCCGACCGTTTCCCACCTCTCCTCTACTTTCGCTCAACGCTCGTAGTCTCCACATACTTCAATTAAAGAAGATGTGCTTCTTACTCGCTTGCGTCTATCAGTACAAATAAAGCCCACTTCTAGAGTCCGCAGCCTGGGAGATCTGAATCACTTTCTATTGAGGAACAAATCTTTCATCAAGGCAACTTTGGGGCATCTGGCATGGTCTCTTGGGTCTTGACCCTCTCTCCTAGCCCGTATCCCACTCGCTTCAAATGTCGCTAGCTAGCTCTGCCTTACCTAACCTCAACAAGGACCTTATGTGCGGTTGTGGGGGCCGGGATGGGCCATGTTTGGTTGGTCAACTTTGTGAACGACGCTTCAAGACTAGATTAAAGGACCGTTGCGCGCGGTTGCGGCTAACCACTTTCTAGACTTCCCCTTTCCCATTCCACTCAACTTGGGAAATCCGCGTAAAGCTGTCAGCACCGCAGACCGTCATAAAATTACTTCACATTGAGACAGAAGGCCCAACCTAAGCTGAGCCATGGGGTAAGAAGCTGCGCGTCGGGAATAGATTCGCGCCAAGGCGCTAAGGAAGCGCATGTGGTCCAACGCAACGGTCCAGAGCCACTTTGTAATCAACCACCACTTCCCTCGTCTCTCACTTTAGGACTGGCGTGAACAGGTCAAAAATCCAAAGGGGAAGGCCTCGCCTTACTGGTAGTAGTACAGCGGAGGAAACGCCTGTTGGGGGTTTCCAAGTCCGTCAGTGTCTTCATTCTCTGCAGTCTGCACAATTTTTCGTTTTCTTCGTGTATCGTATGGTTTTTCTTTCCAACTGACGGTGTGATCAGGAGTCCCGACAAGGCTGTAATTCCTACTCATGAATTGAAATTTGACGATGCTCTGTTAAACAAAAGTGCACTCTCGGCATCTTGCGCATCCGGCTGCCTACCCTCTCGGCCTCTTGAGTCCTGACTCTCTTTCAACTTCAACGTCCAGACTCCAGTTCTTCAACCGCGAGATCCACGGGTCCGCAAGCCCGGCTGTCCGGCTCCCTTGGCGCGTTGGCATTCTCGCAGAATCCACACGAAGACACAGGTCTCCCATCACCGTGGACTGTGGTCCATCATCAAAAGATCCATTAAATAGAGAGAAAATGGGAACTGGTAAGCGGGTGCAATCTCTCCCACCAAGCGATGCAATCAACATCCAATTAAGACTTACTCTTTGAACTCTTGCCAAGTTCCTCCCTATTGCAAGTTGCAACGACTCACGAACCACGATGCGAAATAATCGTAATCAGTGACTCCAACCCTCGCACCCTGGTCTGACTTTGACACTTGCAAGTCAAGTGCCAAAGCCCCCAAAGTCTTGAAGTCCCAAAGTGCCCAGACGCCCCCATGATAAATCGGAAGCACATCCGTAGCGGCGTAGGTGATTAAGTGCTAGCTCGTGTGTTTCCCGGTGGGATGGTACGCTCCATCCCACTAGCTAGCGCCTCTCACTGGGCACATCCCACTGGTGCGAAAACTAGTTTCGGAAACCACAAAGTCGGGAATCGGAATCGAACCAGAGTTGCAAAGACATCTTGGCGGTGTTCGTTGTAAATGACCCTGGAATTCAGGGATACCGGTGGGCGGGCAGACAAACACGCGCCCCCCTCCCCCCCTTTAGTCTAACTACTACAACTCCCCCAAACGGTTCTTGAGTCGTCGATCGCCCTTCTTCCAAAGGGAATAACTGAATGTTTGTCTTGAACAATTGCATCATTATGCCTAACGCTACTTTTTATTTTCACACTTACGGATACTGCTATCACTACAAGGTCTAGAGGTTGCATTGTCGACGGATACATCGGGAAGAAAGGACGTTGCGGAAATAAACAACTTTTTAAGCTTAGCTTTTAGCTCGAGAAACTAAAAACCTTCGGCACCATAGAGAGAAGAGTTTTTTTTCTTTTTCTATCCATTTCCTGCGTATGCTTAGATAAGCGCGTGCACTGCTAAAAAAGTGCACAGCAGCAAAGCAGCAAAAGTCTAATGTCTCTCCGCAACGCTAATGCCAAGTGTCAATGCCAAAAGCTAATGTTTAAAGGAAACAAGTTCCCAAACTCCACTTGTGAAATCGAGAAATGGAGAGAAAAGAGACCCGCTAGACGAGCAGGACAAAAAACGAGAAAAAAGGAGACAAGAAGGAAAAAGAGAGAAAACAGAGTCGGAGGAGTCGACGAGTCAACCTCTGAAACGCAGCAAATCTGCCCAAATCTCAACCCCCCCCCAAAAAAACCCGCCCCCACAAACCGTAAATCTCACAGTCTTCACGATCCCCCCCCCCCCCCCCC